GTGGGAGAAAATCAATAGTTTCACACCTATTTCAGGACTCCCACCCCCAAGCAAGGGAGCCTGGTTCATCACTCAGCTCTCTTGTGAGCTTGCAAAGCATTACACACACCCCTTTTTACAAATGGACAAACTGAGGCACACAGACATTAAGTGATAATGTGAATCTGTGGCAGAGCTCATAGAATCAGAGAATTGGAAGGGATCTTGAGAAGTCATCGAGTCCAGTCCTCTGACCTCGTGGCAAGACCCAGTACCATCTTCTAGACTATCCCTGATTGATGTCTGTCTAACCTGCTCTTAAATCTCTCCAGAGATGGAGATTCCACGACCTCCTTAGGCAATTTATTCCAATGTTTGGCCACCCTGACAGGCAGGAAGTTTTTCCTAATGTCCAACCTAAACCTCCCTTGCTGCAGTTTAAGCCCATTGCTTCTCCTCCTAGCCTCAGAGGCCAAGGAGAACAATTTTTCCTCCCTCCTCCTTGTGACACCCTTTTAGATCTGGGGGATCCAGAGCTGAGGATGAACCTGCAAGTCTTGACACTCACTGGACCATTTAATACAGAGCATGTCCCAAGGTTTTTTCAGAATATACTTTATACTCTAGAGTTTCCTTCATTTGATCTAAACCGTTGCAGCAAACCTTTACAAAGCATACACCCTTCATTCAAAAATATATAGCAAATTCTTACTGCATCCAAGTAAACTAACTAGTGTCATCAAGTGTTAATGTTAATAATAATACAATAATGCATTTAGTCCTTGCCAGTCTGATATACTGAATCCCACAGAGATGCAGACTTGGCTTTATTTGTGTCCTGTCCACCTGAAAATAGTTCATTTTGATGCTTGTACTTCTGTGCATATAACCTCAGTTTTTCAGATACATTTGTATTTCTACCACATTCTAGCACAAGAGCGGCTGATAAAAATTCTCAGCACATAACACAATGCACCAAAATATGAGCAGCTTAACACTTATAGAGAATCAGCTAGTAAAAACCAATTCATTGGAAATCTATGTCTAAACTGTTAGCTATTTCTCTACTTGACAGCAGCTACCCCATTGTACAAAAGGCACTGTTGACTTGCTGTGTAGGAGGTCTGGATTTCAGTAGCCTTCTCTACAGTGTTTTCAGAGAATGATGCACTTAGCTTTACACAGAGAACAACCTACATTACGAGCTGCCTAAATGCTCTTATACTTTGATTGTGTTACTTGTAGTTACTGCTCTATCTAGGAGGTGAGTGATTCCCTCCCTTGGCTTGTTATGGACAAATGTATAGGGATTCATTTTCAGAAAGTCATCTACAGCCTGCAGAGCAGAGCTGACTGGAATCCATGTACAGCAGGGTCGGGCCGAGCAAGGGAATGTTACATTTCTGAACATTGTTTATTTTAAGAAAATAAGTGATTGTAAAAGATGCAGGACTGACAAAGAATTACAGTTCCCTTCTCTCAACTGCCTCTGCCTTTTATCTTGCTGAACTAGAATGAAAGACACCGGACTTTACCATGCTACTCCCAAAACATGCTTCAACTTTGTCCTGGAGACCATCTCAAAAAGAAAGAAGATGGCTTCCCCGCCCTACCCTGTACATTTCTGCAGTCCCTAGAATGTCAGTCATGATACCAGCTCTGCTCGAAGGTTTCAGATGTATCCAGCTGGCCACTTGGAACGGGACTGACTCAAGCAAATTCCTTTGGAAAAAGCCACAAAATGGCAGCTTCGACTCCCTTCTGATGTAAGTTGGATTGGGCTCTCAGATACCTTGCTGATCGGCATGGCCTGGATGACCGGTACTTAATCTGAACTAATATTTTACTCCATTACAGATGCCAAGGACAGCTGTGCTAGAGCTAAGCAGAGGGATTTGCTTTCCTCTTCTGGGGCATTATGCAAGAGGCAAATAGAACAGGTGTAGCAACGGCCAGGCACGTGTGTGCAGCTTCTTGCACTCCTGAGGCATTCAGTAAGCTCCTGCACCAGGCAGGCACAAAACCTCTGGGCAGTTGCTGCTCTCCCCAGCATAGCCCCACTTCACCCGGCCATCACAGAACCCACAGCAGCGATTCCCAGTTAATTGGAGGAACAGGGGGCGGAGACTTTCTGGGACTGGGCAGGAAGATTGCCTGGCCTGAGCCAAGTGGGAGCAAGCTGACAGAGGTAGGGCGGGGGAAGAGGGTCACGGATCTATGAAGGAGGTAAAGGACAAAGAACACAAAGGCATGGCTGGAAGCAGTAAAGAGACAACAGATCTCCTCCCTGCAACAGCTCTGATGCCTCCATCGCCTCTCCGCTCTGCTCCCTGGGAGACCTCAAGCTATGGAGCAGGCACCTGATCCCAGACAGGATCAGGGACAGGGGACTGAATGCGGGTACAGGCTGGACCTCCCTCATCCGGCACCAACGAGGGGATTTGCCGGACTGGGGAGGTCCCTCGCAATATGGCCTGTGCTGAATTCCTGCCCTCAGCTAGGATTCCAGGCCAGCACCCCTGCTGCCTGCCCGGCCATGGCTCCGCAGGTGGAGCTCCCCAAGCTTGGTGGCCATGGCTGGAGCTCCGCAGCCACTACCGACCCCTCCTACCTCCTGGACACAGGGGCAGAACACTCCACTGTGCCACCTGCCCCTCCGTGTCCCCACCTGACATGGGGCTCCCAGCTGAGTTGTCGTCACTGCCACCACCGCCCCCCTCACCGCTGTGCTCCTGACCTCTGGGACAACCTCCTTATACTTGGGCTCTGTGGTCCAGGAACACCCCTGGTCCTGCCGGACCGAGGATGTTGCTGGACTAGAGAGTCCCGGTTAAGGGAGGTACAACCTGTATTTCCTGAACCCAAATACACTGGCCTAGGAAAGATTGAGAGGAATAAGCAAGCTAAATCTGACCTGGCATCAGAACCGCAAGTTTGGCGGTCTCAATGTAAGTGTCCGCTTTTCCAAGGAGCTCAGCACGTTGGAAGAAACGCACGTTTGAAATTAAGATCCTTAATTCTGCTAAAACCAGCCACAGAGGGTCACGTACCGTTAGACTGTGCTGTAGCCAGGGAGCGCGGCATCAGCTCAGCAAGTCAAATACTGTCCAAAAGGCTATGGGCCTGCAATTTTCCATGCCTGAAGCATGAAGGTTATGAGCCCCTAATAAAAGGCAGCGCATGCATGAAGTAGAATTTCCCCCTAAATCTCCCTCTTCCTGGATTATATCTGGGAACGTCACACAGAACAAAACATCATGGGACAAGGTTATACTGAAAACAATTCAACACAGTACTTAATCGCCAGTTGGTCCCTAAAACAGCTCCTCCCCACAACACTCCCCTTCCCTGTACTGCCTCTGCCTTTCATCCGGAGGAGCTGAAACTAAGGAGACGTGGCTGGCCTGGCAGATTCAGCAAAGAGCTTT